TGGGTTCTATCTTAGTACAGGGGACTGTAAACCACGGTGTTTCAGCAGCTGCCTCACAAACAGCTGAGCCAACCCTGCAGCAAGGGTAAAAATGAAAGAGATGGCAAGAATGACTACAACAGCCCTTAGGTAAAGCACACTTGACTTAATGTTGACCTTTGGTGAGGTACACATCTCTTCCTTCAACTTCTCAGCTGTAACATGGGTAGTTTCTCTCCCACACACTTCCTAGGAATGGTGCTACAAGGATGTGTGTGCAATACTATAAAGAATGCCACAAAAATTTGCAGAACGGGTACTACTGCTGATTATGCAGAGCCCCTGAAGAACATGCGCTGTTCCAACTCCTCCATTAACAAAGACTGACCTCATAGGATACTCTTGACGTTTCATACAAGGTGTAACTGTAGTGCTACAGACGAAAAAGAGTTCCATCACTTGATTCCCTCCCCCCCCCCCCGCCCCTTAAACCAATAAATCACAAGAGCAGTATGGCAACCTTAGTTAGGGAAAAAACCAAATGCCATTGCTATGCCTTAACCTCTGCACTAGAGCCAGCCCTAAGGAGTTCATCTGCAAGTAGCAATTTCAGATATCATAAGATGCAACTCCTGCTGTTGCCATGTTATGCACATGATTCCCTAGGACAAGCTAGATATTCTTATCAGCTCTGCATAGCAATTTCTCTACTAGATGTTTTAGCTGCCTCTGCTGCGCTTTTCAGCTTTTGGTGTCCACTCCAAATCTATTTTAGTCCAGTTGTTATCTGTACTGCTGGTGATACATTCTGGCTGCCACCATCCGTTTCTTTATAAAGATGTTCAATGGTTTCCTTCACTGGTTTGTCCTCTGGCTCAAACCTTGACACAAAGCTACTCCCACTGCTCTCTACGAACCTACTTTTTTCCATTAGCAGGAATTCTGTAATCATGCTAAGAGACATTTCTAACCAGGATGTGAAAACAAGGGAACTACCTAGGGCACTGCAATCAGAGATTATATATAACCTTCCCTCCCACTTACCCTCATCTTTCCTCACAGTATGGGCACTGCTCAATTTTTCTCCAGCTCGTGCCTTTCTTCTTCCCCTCCCACCGCATGCCCACTTCCTTTAGCTACACACTTTGTGACATCTATATTCACTACAGTTGCAGCTCTCATATGGAAAAAACCCCATGGATATGAGTTTCTCTTGTACTTTTAACATATTCTTGTCAGGCGTATATCAAGTAGCACACTACAAGATGCCACATGCATCTAAAATTGTAGCAAAATACATAGTAATGCATATACCCAAATAACACAGTCATCTATTCTGTATGACAATTTAAAAGGGAAAAAAAAAAAAAGGTTACAAGCTTTACAATTTAAATTAAAAAACCTAATACTGGGATTTCCAGCTATTCAGATGCTCAGTAAAGTCTAGAAATTCTTCTACACATTTTTTGCACATGGTATAGAAAAAGAAGGCAATTAAATACTAGATTTTAAAGGTCTTTCTAGCTCGCAAAGCTGCAAATAATATTCGTGGCCTAGTGCAGACTGGCTGCAATATGATTCTTCATTCATCTCACTAGCCACACACCTGGAGTAAGTACTTTGCCTATAATACTGTATGAATATGTTTAATACTAGTTTTGGTTCCAAACAGGAACGCATATTTCTTCATCTGGCAAAATAAGATGATCATTTAGAGCTGCATTTGAAATGCCACAAACAAATCCAATAGGGCTTCTGTTTACGTCACTCATCCCCAAGTATTTTGCAGTTTTCCCTCCTAAATCCCAACCTGCCCTGTTTCTTTTCAGACTTCTAATCCAGGAATCAAACAAATCCAAAAAAAGTACCCTATTGGCCTTCCTCAAATAAGGAAGAGTGAAGTAGTGCTATTGGCGAGTACAAATAAATAAGTACGACAGTTGCAATGTGTTAATTAACTATCTAGAAGAGTGGGATTTTAATGACTTGTGTGCAGTATACTCACAGAATAAAATTCTTTGGCATAAAAACTAGCTGAGCCTGTGAAACGAAAAATACCCTACCTGCTCTTCACCTTTGATAACGATGTTATCAAGTCTGCTTTACTGTTTAGAGATGCATGTTACTTTTTTCCTCATAGCTCACTCTCTCCCAGGATTGATATTTTTTACAGCTGAACTAAGGAAGAATTGCTCCTAGATCCTATCAGCCTATGCCAAGGAAAGCTTCTTGCGTAGGTTGGGAATAGAAAGAAGAGTTCACTTGTGTGTGGTTGCTGCCTCCCTTCACTCTTCCTTTCTTCTGAAAGGAGTTGGAATGATGCTCTTTACGGAACCACAGGTGGGGTGGAATAAAGAGAGGGGCCAAATCTGGACTTGGAAAACTACTGCAACAGAGCTTTTGTCTGTCATTTTTAATACCTGCCCTTTCTTTCGCTTTCCC